AAAGAATTTAAACATGATAGATTGAATTATTTACCATGGCCTAACAAATCTGTTTTGTTCACAATCATCTTACATATTTAGTCTGACAAACCCTTGATTATGTCTGAATGGAAAATGTTAATCAAAAAATCATTTAACAGATTGGTAAAGTTCAAAAAATAACTGCACCAAGTCAGAAATATGACAGTTATCTACCAATTATTCCAATATCTAAGAGTTGAAATGATAATTAAAATCTAGTACAAATCAGAATTACATTATCAACAACATGTAGTAGAAATTGGGTATCCAGATTTGTACTGAGAGGATCCTGAATTATACTAAATTCCCAGAAGGATCTGGGATATCACTAAAACTGTTGTTAGTATGATTCTGGATCAAACTGAATTTATTTTTCTATTTATAATGTTTACTGTTTGCACTTGATAAGTAGGAAAACAAACAAAAAATGATGATAGCAGGATTCTGGATCCTACTCAATTCCAATTTGAAAAAGGAGGATTCTAGACCTTACTCAATTCCAATTTGTTAAAGGATTCTGGACCCTAATGAATTTTAATTTGTACTAGGACTCTGGATCCTACTGAATTCCAATTTGTAATAGGTGGATTCTGGATCCTACTGGATTCTTATTTGTATTAGATTGATCGTTAGTATACTGAATTTTTCATGACTTACGATCAATCTTAGTTGTAAGTATTTTTGTGAAACTGACTCCAGAATTTCAATTTGATTGATTGATTGATTATTGGTTGCTTAATGTTCAGTGGCAAACATTTCATGCATGTTCAGGATGAGCTGAATTAGGATTCTGGATCCTGATGAATTCTAATTTGTAATAGGATTATGGATCCTGCTGAATTCTAATTGTAATAGGATTATGGATCCTGCAGAATTCTAATTGTAATAGGATTATGGATCCTACTGAATTCCAATTTGTAATAGGATTATGGATCCTGATGAATTCTAATTGTAATAGGATTTTGAATTCTATTGAATTTCAATTCATATTAGAATTCTATATTCTTCTGAATTTCAATTTGTATTAGGATTCTGGATCCTATTGAATTTCAATTTGTATTAGGATTCTGGATCCTAGTGAATTTCAATTTGTATTAGGATTCTGGATCCTATTGAATTTCAATTTGTATTAGGATTCTGCACCCTAGTGAATTCCAATTTGTATTAGGATTCTGCACCCTAGTGAATTCCAATTTGTATTAGGATTCTGGATCCTACTGAATTCCAATTTGTATTAGGATTCTGGATCCTACTGAATTCCAATTTGTTTTAGGATTCTGCACCCTAGTGAATTCCAATTTGTATTAGGATTCTGGATCCTACTGAATTCAAATTTGTTTTAGGATTTTGGATCCTACTGAATTCCAATTTGTTTTAGGATTCTGGATCCTACTGAATTCCAATTTGAATTAGAATTCTGGATCCTACTGAATTTCAATTTTTATTAGGATTCTGGACCCTAGTGAATTCCAATTTGTTATAAGATTCTGGACCCTAGTGAATTCCAATTTGTTATAAGATTCTGGACCCTAGTGAATTCCAATTTGTTATAGGATTATGGACCCTAGTGAATTCCAATTTGTTATAGGATTATGGACCCTAGTGAATTCCAATTTGTTATAAGATTCTGGACCCTAGTGAATTCTAATTTGTATTAGGATTCTGGATCCTACTGAATTCAAATTTGTTTTAGGATTTTGGATCCTACTGAATTCCAATTTGTTTTAGGATTCTGGATCCTACTGAATTCCAATTTGAATTAGAATTCTGGATCCTACTGAATTTCAATTTTTATTAGGATTCTGGACCCTAGTGAATTCCAATTTGTTATAAGATTCTGGACCCTAGTGAATTCCAATTTGTTATAAGATTCTGGACCCTAGTGAATTCCAATTTGTTATAGGATTATGGACCCTACTGAATTCCAATTTGTTATAGGATTATGGACCCTAGTGAATTCCAATTTGTTATAGGATTCTGGACCCTAGTGAATTCCAATACTGTTATAGGATTCTGGACCCTAGTGAATTCCAATTTGTTATAGGATTCTGGACCCTAGTGAATTCCAATTTGTTATAGGATTCTGGACCCTAGTGAATTCCAATACTGTTATAGGATTCTGGACCCTAGTGAATTCCAATACTGTTATAGGATTCTGGACCCTAGTGAATTCCAATTTGTTATAAGATTCTGGACCCTAGTGAATTCCAATTTGTTATAGGATTCTGGACCCTAGTGAATTCCAATACTGTTATAGGATTCTGGACCCTAGTGAATTCCAATACTGTTATAGGATTCTGGACCCTAGTGAATTCCAATACTGTTATAGGATTCTGGACCCTAGTGAATTCCAATTTGTTATAGGATTCTGGACCCTAGTGAATTCCAATACTGTTATAGGATTCTGGACCCTAGTGAATTCCAATACTGTTATAGGATTCTGGACCCTAGTGAATTCCAATTTGTTATAAGATTCTGGACCCTAGTGAATTCCAATTTGTTATAGGATTCTGGACCCTAGTGAATTCCAATACTGTATACATGGACACTGTTTTACCTTTACTTTATCCTTGATGTTTTGTATATTTGTTAATTCCTGTTCTTACAAACCAACATTTATAAAACTTTATTTCTGATTACACTTTTTATTCCATGTCACTAAATCCCAATAATAAAGATGATGTAATATTAATCTTGTGTATTTAATCAAGTTAAAGTTTAAAATAAATGTTTTCAAAGATGAATGTATAGATACATTTGGCATTCATAGTGAACAACCAAATTAGCTTTCTGTATAAAATGGGTTGAATAAAATGAAGTCATTTATTACCAAAGTAAAATTTACTTTATCCATTGGTAGACATTTTCTTGCATGCATTATTCTTTTACCTGAAGAAATTTTAATTCAAGCAGTCAAAAGGGCAACAACTTGTTTAAAACATCGTGACATTTAGCCTTTCTTATCTCTGTGACAGACATGCAGGTGTTATGTGATAACTCTATTCATTATAAATCATTTATATTGACTCAAGCTAACTCAAACTTTTCTTGTGTTCAAAAAATTTGAAAGAATTCTTGTATGCTATCTTACTGATTTGAAGTTTTGCCTTCTACTGTTAATGTAATATTTGAATTGATATTTTCATAGAGAGAGAATGAAGAATAGCAATCATATTAAGGGCTCCAGTAGGGCTTTTTAAAATGCCTCAGGTCACCAGGTCACTTTTAAGCATATTAAAGTACACCTTGTAAGTAAGGTAATTGAAATGTCAGGTTGTGATGTCACGTTATTGTTGTCTGTAAATCAAGCTTGAGATCACGATTAACAATACACAATGCGATCCATTAATCTACATTGGTGCCACGACACAGGAATAACCAACAGACCAATTGTTAAGCCCTCATTAATCTACCATGGTGTCGCCACACAGGAATTACCAACCGATCAATTGTAAAGCCCTGATTAATCTACATTGGAGCCATGACACAGGAATTACCAACTGACCAATTGTAAAGCCCTCATTAATCTACATTGGAGTCATGACACAGGAATTACCAACCGACCAATTGTAAAGCCCTGATTAATCTGCATTGGACCCACGACACAGGAATTACCAACTGACCAATTGTAAAGCCTTTTTATTAATCAACATTTGTGCCGTGACACAGGAATAACCAACCGATCAATTGTATAGCCCTCATTAATCTACATTGGTGCAATGACACAGGAATTACCAACAGATCAATTGTATAGGCCTCATTAATCTGCATTGGAGCCACAACACAGGAATTACCAACTGACCAATTGTAAAGCCTTTTTATTAATCAACATTGGTGCCTTGACACAGGAATAACCAACCGATCAATTGAATAGCCATCATTAATCTAACATTGGTGCAATGAATCAGGAATTACCAACAGATCAATTGTATAGGCCTCATTAATCTACATTGGTGCAATGACACAGGAATTACCAACAGATCAATTGTATAGGCCTCATTAATCTACATTGGTGCAATGACACAGGAATTACCAACCGATCAATTGTATAGGCCTCATTAATCTGCATTGGAGCCACGACACAGGAATTACCATCTGACCAATTGTAAAGCCTTTTTATTAATCAACATTGGTGCCGTGACACAGGAATAACCAACCGATCAATTGAATAGCCATCATTAATCTACATTGGTGCTGTGACACAGGAATAACCAACCGATCAATTGAATAGCCATCATTAATCTACATTGGTGCCATGACACAGGAATAACAAACCGATCAATTGAATAGCCATCATTAATCTACATTGGTGCAATGACACAGGAATAACCAACCGACCAATTGTAAAGCCCTTATTAACCTACATTGGTGCTGTGACACAGGAAAATTACCAACCTATTGTAAAGCCCTAACCATTGGAAATACGAAGTAAAAATGATGACAGTGAATGAACTTTATGCGCCCTGAAGGAGTTAGTTAATGTTCAGACTGTTCCAATTAACTTCAGTTATGAGATTGACTTGCAAAAGTGTTCAAGCATAATTTTTCACTTTCTGATTAATTATTGAACAGTGAAGTTTTTAAAGTATTATTGAGAGACTTTATAGTTTTAATTAATTTTGTGACATAATTGATCACATTATATTTTAAATTTAATTATTTTTCACATTGTATTTCACATTTAAGTTAAATTTCATTTTCTGCAGCCCCAAAATGTTCAGAACTGAGCTAATGTTAAAAGTATCCTTTTGTGGTGTGGCCACTATCTTTGTGACGTGGCGTTATTGTGATGATAATATTATTATTGAATAGAATGTTGTAATAACAGACATATTTGTATCTGTAACATCTAAATCAAACTTGATATCACGTTTAACAGTACAAAATGCAACCTAGTAATCTACAATATTATTGATGGAGTTTTGGTGTTTGTTAACCAAACATAATTCCAAAAAGAGAAAATATTATAAATGCATCACCTTCTTTAAGTTTTGTGGTAACATCTAATTGAGGTAGATTCTTAAATCAAATATTATGTAAAGGTATCTTTAAATTCTTTTTAACAGCAACCAATTTTAATGGCAATTAGTAACCACTGGATATTACTGAGAAAGGGATTTAAAGCCCAATTTCACTGCAATAAAAGTTGTATGCCAAACTATGTTCCCTCCAAAAATTAGAGAGTCATGAATATTTCTGACAAAATGAATTAATGAATTTAATGATTAGACTTAAAACATGGAAAAATATGAGAAACTATTTCATTAAAAAGATCCCTCAAATAATAAATATTTTTTTTCAAATCTCTTTTCAATTAACATTTTAGGAATACAGACTTTAGCTATGCAACAACTCCGTCTGTTCATAAATATAAATAATGTCTTACATGTGCTTCTTTTTCCTGCAGCAATTCCAGTACTTTTTCCTTTAATTTCAGCCTTATTTATTTGCAATGTGCATTTGTTGAATAAAGATATCTCTACCTCAAACCATGATCTCTGATTGGACAGAGATAAAATATGTATGCTACTTTTATCACAGAATTGAATATACTCTATTCTAAAAAGGAAAGCATGTACCTTACAAAAGTTGCATTTTACCGATTAATGGAATTGTATATACATACTGTATTAATTTTGTAATTCAACAAAGTATCATAGATCTCTCATCACATGTTAACGTGGCCTTTAACTCATTAATCCCCAATAACACCTATCAATAGTGGCTATCATGATAAAATCATGTTTATCGCTGATCTTCATCTGGTGGATGACAATAGTTTATGTTGAATAATCTACTTCTTGTTTTATAATGAAATATACAAACATGATCCAATACAAATAGCTTACAAGATATATAATCTTAAGGACTTGTTAACAACTACATACTAAACACATAAGTATTCTTAAGCTGTTCGTATAGATTAGTATAAATTATGTATATCACTTATGCTTGAGTTTTAAAAACCAATATACTAAGTAAACAGATTAATCATGAAAATCAGACATATCACTTAGATCTTGATTTTTACATACTAGACAATAAAACAACTTGTCAGTTTCTGCTTTGTAAACTCCACTACTTCTGTTAAGTATATCATGTTTTATAATAATATTCGATATAAGCCATAATGTGGTTTTCTTCCAAAAAATTACAAGTTAAGATAAAACAATGACTACATTAATAGCAAAATGAATGTATGTTGTGATATGTCCAGTGTCAAATATTTCATGCATATTAATGAGTTCTAGAAAAAATTCACTAATGATATTTTTCATAGTTATAAGAATTTTAATCCTGAACAGATATAAACAGTTTATTTTTTACTTACATTAAAAGAAAATCCATGAGTAATAAACCCAAAATTTACGACCATACAAAGTCAAAATGAATCAATACTTGAAACATAAATTTAATCCCCGATAAACTATCTATAAAATGATAATCAAAAGCCATCAATTGTACCTTATATGATTGAAATTGTAGTCATTTAATGGATTTATAAATATCATTGATTTGGGAGCCAAAAAAGTACAAAGAAATAGTAAACATTTTCAAAGATAAATCAATAGTATAGTGTAAATAGTCATAAAGTGAAATATAATCTCTTAAATTTAATTTTACTGAGCAAACATTTCATGCCACTGTTTTATTTTGCAGTGCAAAGAGCACGTTGACAAATCTTATCTCTGATCAATAATTCTGACTGGTGTTAATGCATTAAATACATATCAGAAAAAATATCATATCGATATAGATTGACATAATTCTTGTTTTTAATGTTTAATATACATTTGCAGACCTAACTGGTTTTAAGAATTTTTGTAGTCTAATAAGTAAAATTTCTCACAGACAAAGTAATTGATGGCTAATAGTTAAAAACTTCCAATGAAACATTTATAAAAACCAGCATAATTTTTCAAATTGGAGAAATGTAGATTTTCACTGCAAACATTCCTATGATTGAGGGTTTTAACACTAACATAGACATTTGCTATTATACAAGGTAATATGAGCATGCTCACAAAATAGTATCCTTGTCTAATCTTCTACCTGTTGCAAGTTCATTTGACTACCCTTTAAGATTCATATAACTTGAAATATTTCACTTCATGCACACCTTCCTATGGAGAAATGATATTTTTATGATATATTTGACATTATAGGAGGAATAAGACGAAGCAGAAATTGACAGACAGAGGAACATAAAATTGAAGTAAATTTAATTTCTTTGACACCTTTTTTAATCACCAGTATCACCTGTAAAATGAATCATTACAATGTTAATAGGTTTCTGGATCTTTTTAGGTCTTTAACTATAAAGATTTATATTCCAATAAACTTTATTGCTATTTGGAAATTGGTGACACTTGAATGAAGATTTTGTGACGCTTTAACTATTGACGTCATACAACAATAACTTTTGAATTGTGGTGTCAGTTCATATTCTAATGTGATGTCAAAATTTTACAGGAACATTAATGATGGACAATAATGGCAGATAAATAGCAAAAATGTGTATGGTACCAACTTGGTTTGTAATTTGCTGTAAGTTAAATACAAACTCTGAAATCAAACAAAGCTATTCATGCATGAAAAATAGGTCATCTTCTCCAAGGTTGATTCTTTCCTGTATACAAGAATGAAACAAAAATGCATGCCCCACTCGTAATTGAAAACTAGTACTTATGGGAACACAGGAAGTAGGTGTCCAACAGATCCAAAAGGCACACACAAGTTACAAAACATCTCTGTTAGGCTGCTGACCAAATTCAAAATCATTTTATCTAGTAGTACTTGAGAAAAGTGTAACACAAAATGTTAAGTTGATTCAGTATATTAGAAAAGTTCAAAATATCGGCAAACAGGTAATAGGAAATAGCAAAAAGTTCCTCACAAGAAAGTTGACATCTATAATGAGGTTCCAAGAAGTCAATAAACAAATACCAGTACCTCTGAAGTGTGTGATGCCCCACTTATGAAGGGTGGACAGGGGTAAGGGAACATGGAAATGCAAGGGTGGGAAGTTGGAGTCAGGGTGTGGGAACTGGGGGAAGAGAGGGAGCAAAATTAGGATATTCTGGAAAATAATTTTTTAACCGATTTTCGTCTGGGAGTAAGGGGGAGGAAAGTGGGAATCAGAATCCTCCCTGTCCATCCCCTCACTTATTGACCTCTGCAGTGAGGTTCTCAGAATGAACAAATAACAGTACCTCTGATGTGTCTGATGCCCCACTTATTGACTTCTGCAATGAGGTTCTCAGAATGAACAAATAACAGTACCTCTGATGTGGCTGATGCCCCACTTATTGACCTCTGCAATGAGGTTCCCAGAATGAAATCAAAGCACTGTAAGCACTGTAGGCAGTTAACCAAAAACCAAGGCAAACATAATTATGAAAACTGTGGCTATGTTGCTTCCTTTTTGTTTAAGATTTAAAAGAACAAACATTAAACATTCATATATTGTGCATTTATGTTCATTTAATGAATTAATTATTAAGGCAAATAATTCATATTTTATCAAGGTTTTCAAAAGCAACGCATATATCAAGTATATTTTTAATGGTCATGTGTCTGCAGTGGTACAAGTTCGAAATGATTGCAGTTGTTCTAGTTGATAGTTAACGTTGGTATTAGTTGACTGTTAGTAGTTCAAGTTGACTTAGTACGAGCTTGTAATAGTATGCATGGACTTGCTTCCCTGGAAAGAAAACTGAGTTTGTGTTCTACAGTGCAAAAGTTATGAGACACAAATCAGACAAATGTTTACTACTACGGGGATCAAAGGTGAGGTCTGACTGACCTGCCCATAGTAAATGTAAATGACCCCCACCTTCACCCCAAGTCCATGATGTCTAAGTTTGGAATAAAATGACAGGTGATTATAATAAAGTTGGTCAAACACTCTTGGGCTTGAAAGATATGTTTTCTTTAAAATGAGCCATATTAAAATGAAATTTTTTATAGAACCAGAAATTATTCAAAATATAATTAAGGTAAATTCTTTAAACCTACTCATTTTTTGCATCAATAAAATTTTATAATAAACAAGAAATAATTGTAACAGAATGCTGTTACGAAGTCTCCCAAACAAAGCTGCCATAATTATTCGTTCCCATGGTCGCCTGACATTGGGCAAAGTCTAGTACACATTGATTAGGTCTAGTAAAGTGATATGCATATGTGATGCCTATGAGATTGATCTTGTATGTCATTCAAATCTGTTTGAAATGACGAACAGGAATGAATATGGTTTAGGAGTTGGTATCTCAAACTTTTACAAGTTCTTAAAACACACACAAGAGGGGATGGGGTGACCTTAGGGACTAACCCTATATTTCATTTGATTTTTTATGTTTTCCCATACATGAATATATATATGGTTTAGGGGTGGGGATCTCGACCGTTATCAAGTTTCAAACAGGAGGGGGTGGGGTGACCCCAGTGACTTCCCCTATATTTCATTTGATTTGTTATATTGCCAAATACATGAGTATATATGGTTTAGGGGTGGGGATCTCATCTGTTTCCAAGTTATCAAACAGGAGGGGGTAGGGTGAACCTTAGGACTCTCCCTATATTTCATTTGATAAGTTCTGCTGTCCCATACATGAATATATATGGTTTAATTTAGAGGTCGGGATCTCGACTGTTTCCAAGTTCTCAAACAGGAGGGGTGGGGTGACTGAAGGGACTCCCCTATATTTCATTTGATTTGTTATATAGTCCCATACATGAGTATAAATGGTTTCGGGGTGAGGATCTCGACCGTTTCCAAGTTCTCAAACAGGATGGTTTACAGTGACCATAGGAGCTGCCCCTATTTTTCATTTGATTTGTTATATTGTCCCATACATGAATATATATGGTTTAGGGTGGGGATCTCGACCGTTTTCAAATTCTCAAACAGGAAGTGGTAGAGTGGCCCCAAGCACTCAACCTATATTTCATATGATTTGTTATATTGTCCCATACATGAATATATATGGTTAAGGGGTGGATCTCGACCGTTTCCAAGTTCTCAAACAGGAGGGGTGGGGTGACCCCCAAGGACTCCCCCTATATTTCATTTCATTTGTTATATTGTCACATACATGAATATGTATGGTTTATGGGATCATTATTTTTTTGTATGCTCCAATGAACAAATTATGTCTTTAAGAGAAAGATATATACCTACATATTACACACAAAATCCTTCCCAATTGAAACTTACTGGTCTATTATCACACTGTAACGTGCCACTGCTAACAAAAGTGTGCATGTTTCTAAAACATATTGAAAAAATATTTTCATAATACAAAGCATGTTACAATAACTTCATATCCATGTTGCAATTAAGAATTTTGCAAACAAATCAACCAACTATAGTTTATTTCCATTTTATTGTATGATATCACTTATTTATTTATTGTGTGTCTTGCTTGTAAATGTATAAGTATATATGTAATTGTTAATGTATAATTGTTATCCTCTTGTAGCACCATACGTGTGCTTAAGTTTAAATAAATTGTCTTGTCTTGTCTTGGGATCTTGACCGTTTCCAAATTCTCAAACAGGAGGGGTGGGGTGACTGCAGGGACTCCCTCTATATTTCATTTGATTTATTATATTGTCCCATACATGAATATATTTGGTTTAGGGGTGGGGATCTCGACCATTTCAAAGTTCCCAAACAGGAGGGTTGGGGTGACCCCAGGGACTCCCCTGTATTTCATTTGATTAGTTATATTGTCCCATACATGAATATATATGGTTTAGGGGTGGGGATCTCGACTGTTTCCAAGTTCTCAAACAGGAGGGGTGGGGTAACCCTAGGGACTTCCCCCTATATATTTCATTTGATTAGTTATATAGTCCCATACATGAATATATATGGTTTAGGGGTGGGGATCTCATCCGTTTCAAAGTTATCAAACAGGAGGGGGTAGAGTGACCCAAAGGATTCCACCTATATATCATATGATTTGCTTACATTCAGGTATCATAAAATCTAGTTGCACTATTTGCGAAAACAAAGTAAGAAACTTCCAGCTATGTTAACTGACCCTTCAAAATTGAGAAAAAAATTGCAGTAATATGTTTACACTTTAAAAGCATCTTACATGCATTATCAACATTTATCACTGATAAAGAAGATTTATACTGTCACCAGGAACATATATATTGTTAGATATACTGTTCCCAGCTGTCACATTGTATTGGATTTTGACATTAAAATTTGTCAAAAAGTAATTTTGAGTTTCTGTATCAAATATTTTTTGCTTTTTCTTTCTTTTACATATATCTTTTGGTTTCCATTTCTAGTGTTTATATGTATTTACCATGCATAGATGTATTTTGTCACCTGCCTGAAAAAAATTTTTGTAGTTGATCTCCAAAACCCGGAATTACCCTTATCCGCTTCCGGAATCGGACCCGATATTGTAATTGTCTACACGGCATCCATTGTTTTTCAATGTTGTTATTGTCAGTCAGATACGATTTTACTCGAATTTACACATTACTTGTAGGCGATTATCTGTATAAAGCTAGCGGTTGAACAAAATGAACATCGCTGTCATGAATAATAAAGATGAAAATACGTTTTGAGATCGTTTATTTAGAGACTTTGGTAAAAAGGTTTGCAAAGTTATTTTTAATTTTCTTTCAAGTGAAAGGTCCGTCGGGCGTAGCTAGTAACCAAGTCGAGAGTCCGATTGCAACAGTGGAAGGTCGCGGACCTCGGACCACCGCTAATTTGAATCCCTGCCTCCAAATTGAAAAGATACGAAAATTTCGTCTTCTAATTTGAAATTGCCGCCAACAGCATGAACAGTGGAACTTATTAATAGACTACTGACGTAGTTGTAACACGTATTGACGACAAACAATATTCCTACGACTTTTGCCATTTGGGAAATCTAAACTGCTTGTCTTTAAAGATTTTCGGCGATTAAATATTTCATACAATTGTTCTTTGACATCTTAGCCAAAAGCACAGGGGATAATAAACTACATAAGGATTCCTAATGTGCTCTACTTCCTATGTGCAACTTCAAAACTTTTGGGTGGTTCGACGATCATTTAAGGTTTTTTCTGGTCATATTTTTGTAATCCAGAATTAAAAGTATGAAAAAACTCTTCAATTAGTTATAAATAACATTATATCCAGCTAGATAATAACAATGGCACGTATTTCAGCATTTATTGGGTAGAACACAAATCTAGGGTGCTCGCATAAGGCAGCTTAACTGCCTAAAAATAGCAGTATACCTCTGATGTGTCTGATGCCCAACTTATTGACCTCTGCAATGAGATTCTCAGAATGAACAAATAACAGTACCTCTGATGTGTCTGATGCCCCACTTATTGACCTCTCTAATGAGGTTCCCAGAATGAACAAATAACAGTACCTCTGATGTGTCTGATGCCCCACTTATTGACCTCTGTCATTAGGTTTTCAGAATGAACAAATAACAGTACCTCTGATGTGTCTGATGCCCCACTTATTGACCTCTGCAATGAGGTTCCCAGAATGAACAAATAACGATACCTCTGATTTGGCTGATGCCCCACTTATTGACCTCTGCAATGAGGTTCCCAGAATGAACAAATAACAGTACCTCTGATGCCCCACTTATTGACCTCTGCAATGAGGTTCTCAGAATGAACAAATAACAGCACCTCTGATGTGTCTGATGCCCCAATTATTGACCTCTGCAATGAGGTTCCCAGAATGAACATTATAACAGTACCTCTGATGTGTCTGATGCCCCAATTATTGACCTCTGCAATAAGTTTCTCAGAATGAACAAATAACAGTACCTCTGATGTTGCTGATGCCCCACTTATTGACCTCTCTAATGAGGTTCCCAGAATGAACAAATAACAGTACCTCTGATGTGGCTGATGCCAATTATTGACCTCTGCAATTAGGTTCTCAGAATGAACAAATATCAGTACCTCTGATGTGGCTGATGCCCCACTTATTGACCTCTCTAATGAGGTTCCCAGAATGAACAAATAACAGTACCTCTGATGTGTCTGATGCCACACTTGTTAATGATGCAGCTTTCCACAATCCTCCATCAGTTAAGCCTGTATGTGGTTTCTGTGACTTCAGACTTTGTTGAAGTGCAGCGTAAGTAGCTTTTAGATCAGGAATTTGTCCATTTTTAGCCATGTGTAGGGCAGATAGAGGTAGTTTTCCTGCCATCACAGCTTGTCTGATGGATCTCTGATACTGGTAGTTTTTGAAGGCTCTGTAGATCAGTTCATAATCTTCATGCTACAAAAAAAAAATGAAAGAAATGTGTTGTCAACTCAAAAACATATCTTATAAATTCTGTTTGCTCCTGTCCAATTTATAAAAGACTAACTAGAGGCTCTCAAGAGCCTGTGTTGCTCACCTGATTCTACTTTGGTTTTGGAAATCATGTTAAAATAGATTAAAATCATAACAGATACCCTAATAATGAGTGAGGCCAAATTTGGTTTAATATTGGCCCTGTAATTTAATGAAAAATCCTGGTGGCCATCTTGAACAGTAAATCAGCAACAAAGTAGCAACACTTCATCAACACCTCATAAGAAACATTTATGCCATGTTTGGTTTCATTCCATTCAGTGCACCTCTAGAAGAAGCATTTGTATGTATTTCCAATAGGGTCTTATGTTAAAGGAAGTCCCCCCTCTGGCAGCCATCATGGATGAAGGATCAGCTTCAAAGTAACAACACTTAGTCAGCACCTCATAAGGAACATTCATACCATGTTTGGTTTCAATCCATTCAGTGGTTCTCTAAAAGAAGACGTGTATGTATTGTCCATAGGGTCCTGTTAAACTAAGTCCCCCGCTGGCAACCATCTTGGATGATGGATCGGCTTCAAAGTAACAACACTTGGTCAGTACATCAAAAGGAACATTCATGCCATGTTTGGTTGTAATCCATTCAGTGGTTCTCTAAAAGAAGACATGTGTATGTATTGTTCATAGGGTCCTTTGTTAAACACTGTCCCCAGCTGGTGGCCATCTTGGATGATGGTTCGGCTTCAAAGTAACAACACTTGTTACTTTGAAGCCGATCCATAATCCAAGATGGCCGCCTGGGAGGGGGGGGGGGGGGGGACTTAGTCCTATATTAAACTAAGTCCCCCCCCAGGCTGCCATCTTGGATTATGGATCAGCTTCAAAGTAACAACACTTGGTCAGCACCTCATAAGGAACATGCATGCCATGTTTGGTTTCATTCCATTCAGTGGTTCTCTAAAAGAAGACATTTGTATGTATTTCCCATAGGGTCCTATATTAAACTAAGTCCCCCGCTGGCAGCCATCTTGGATGATGGATCGGCTTCAAAGTAACAACACTTGGTCAACACCTCATAAGGAACATTCATGCCATGTTTGGTTTCATTCCATTCAGTGGTTCTCTAAAAGAAGACATTTGTATGTATTTCCCATAGGGTCATATGTTAAACTAAGTCCCCCGCTGTCGGCCATCTTGGATGATAGATCTGCTTCAAAGTAACAACACTTGGTCAGCACCTCATAAGGAACATTCATGCCATGTTTGGTTTCATTCCATTCAGTGGTTCTCTAGAAGAAGTTCAAAATGTAAAAAGTTAACGACGACGACCAAGACGACAGACGAGGACGACGAATGGCGGATGCCAAGTGATGAGAAAAGCTCACTTGGCCCTTCGGGCCAGGTGAGCTAAAAAGGTCATTCTTTTTTTTTCTTTTAATGTTTATAACAACTATTAAATATATAATTCTATCAAACATCCCCATATCAACAAAGCTAAAATCTATCTTTGTTATGATAAACCCTAAAATCAATCTATTCAAGCAATATTTTATAAGGTGCATCAACTATTCAGGATATAAAGTAATTCTGTCAAGTCAAAAGTGGATTTGTACTAACAATCTCTCTAAATTTAGAAATGGTAAAATCAATTATTGCAAAGACAACCAAAAGCTAGAGGCTCTAATTTAGAGCCTGTGTCGCTCACCTAGGTCTATGTGCATCTTCAACAATGAACACTCTCTAACATTGTAGACTAGAATAGAATTCATGACAAAAATCTCTTCTTTGTTTGTCTAGTCTTGCTGATCATTTTTTGCTTATTTAAGTTTCTATCTATCTAATATAGTTTTTCAGAAAGTAGGCAACAACGCTAAACTAGAGGCTCTCAAGAGCCTGTGTCGCTCACCTGTATTTACTGATGCTTTGGAAATCATGTAAAATAAGGTTAAAATCATAATAAATAGTATTAGATATTAGATATTATAATGATATCTAAGATAATAACAATTTTTTTTTTGTAAAATTACTAACTCAGGGGCAGCAGCCCAACAACGGGTTGTCGGATTCGTCTGAAAATTTCAGGGCAGATAAATCTAAATCTGATCAACATTTTTGCCACCTGTCAGATTTGCTCTAAAAGCTTTAGTTTCAGAGATATAAACCAAAAACAGCATTTTACCCCTATGTTCTATTTTTAACCAAGTCGGCCATGATGGTTGGAAGGCGGGGTCAATGGACAAATTTTTTAAACTAGATACCCTAATAATGATTATGGCCAAGTATGGTTAAATTTGTCTCAGTAGTTTCAGAGAAGAAGATTTTTGTAAGAGATTACAAAAATTTACAAAAAATTGTTAAAAATTGACTATTAAGGGCAATAACTCCTAAAGGGGTCGACTGACAATTTTGGTCATGACAACTTATTTGTAGATCTTACTTTGCAGAACATTATTGCTGTTTACAGTTTATCTCTATCTATAATAATATTCAAGTTAATAACAAAAAACTGCAAAATTTCCTTAAAATTAACAATTCAGGGGCAGTAACCCAACAATAGGTTGTCAGATTTGTCTGAAAATTTCAGGAGAGATAGATCTTGACCTGAAAATCAGTTTTACCCTATGTCAGATTTACTCTAAATGCTTTGGTTTCAGAGATATAAGCCAAAATCTACATTTTACCACTATGTTCTATTTTTAGCCATGACGGCCATCTTGGTTGGTTGGCGGGGTCATCGGACACATTTTTAAAACTAGATACCCTAATGATGATTGTGGCCAAGTTTGGTTAAATTTGGCCCAGTGGTTTCAGAGGAGAAGATTTTTGTAATAAGCTAATGACGACGGACAACGACAACGACGACGACGGACAACAGTCATCAAGTGATGATAAAAGCTCACTTGGCCCTTCGGGCCAGGTGAGCTAAAAATGATAAAAATTGTTATTAAAGAGAACAACTCCAATAAGGGGTTATCAGACGATTTAAACCATGTTGACTTATTTGTAGATCTTGTCTTGCTGATAATTTTTGCCTATTTAAATTTCTATCTATTATACTTTTTTCAGATATTAGGCAAAATGGATAAAAATTGTCATTAAAGGGCAATAACTCCCATAAGGGGTCATCAGACGATTTCAACCATGAGACTTATTTGTAGAAGTTATCTTGCTGATCATTTTTGCTATTTAAAGCTTCTCTCTGTTATAATTTTCAAGATAATAGGCAAATAATTTAAAAGTTGGTAAAATTGGTAATATAAGGGCAATAACTCCTATAAAAAGTCTTCTGACAGTTTAAAAGTGAAAAGACAATAGGTAGATCTCATACTTCCAAAACATATATGCCCTTGTCAGATTTTCTCTATTTATAGTGGTTTTCAATATAATAGACAAACTTGCATTTTACCCCCATGGTTTATTTTTAGCCATGTCGCCCATCTTGGTTGGCAGGCAGAGTCATCCGACACATTTTTTAAACTAAATACCCTAAGATTGTGGCCAAGATCAGTAGTTTCAGAGAAAGATTTTGTAAAACTTATCAAAGACAGACGCCAAGTGAGCTAAAAAATCTGATAAAAAAAGGAACAGTACAAGAAAAAATTTGCTCATTAAGATAAAAGACTGAAATGGATGTAAAGGAAGCAAATCACTTACAAAAAAATAAATAAATGGGGAATGTGTCCATGGGACACAGATGATGCCACCGCTTGCATATAATGTTATAAAGGGATATAACTCAAGAACTGTAAAAGTGACGCTGCCCAAATTTGTACTTGATCTGAGTTTTGTGATAAGCATTGTGTATACGTTTCATAACATTTGGTTGAGGCAAACTAAAGTAAGAGAACGGAAATTTCCATTTGTAGAGGGCATAACTCTAGAACGGCAAAAGTGACGCCACCAAAATTCAAATTTGATCTGTGTTTTGTGGAAATAAGCATTGTGTATAAGTTTCATAACATTTGGTTGAGGCAAACTGAAGTTAGAGAAGGGAAACAAAAACTTTAGCAATTTTTCCATTTGTAAAGGGGCATAACTCTAGAGCAGTTAAAGTGATGCCACCAAAATTCAAACTTGACCTGTGTTTTGTGTTAATAAGCATTGTGTATAAGTTACATAACATTTGGTTGAGGCAATCTAAAGTTAGAGAACAGAAACCAATTTTGGGACGTACGTACAGATGTACAGACGGACAAGAGTTAAACTTAATGCCCCCTCCGCTACGACGGGGGTATAAAAATAGATCCATCTGAACTGAATCATCCCCGACTATAACATTAAATTCTTAAAACACAGAGTAATTTAAAATACTTGTAAGGTAAGTGATCCTGACAGTAGTTCATATGCATCCTTTAGACAACCAATAGCTTTCTGCCCCAAGAAGAAAGTCTGACTTCTCTTCTGTCTTCCTTCTACATCCTTTGTATCTTCTGTTTTTGTCCTCTTGACATATTTCTTGTCAAAATCAAATGGCTGCATTGCTGTAAATCTGGCATTCTTTCAAAGAATAAAAGTAGAGAATTAAAGTATTCTTCTGATCTTAAGATGAATAAAAGCATGTACTGAAAAAATAAAAATCTAACAACTATAAGTAATAATGATATGTTAATGATTTACAATTAATTTCCATCTTATGTTTTCAGTGAAAATAAATCAAAAATTGTCTACAAGTACATGCTTATAATTCAAATGTATTTATACTGTTAGAGAAGTTTATCATTTCCACTTCCTGTCTAAAACTCTAGATTTTCCTCTAAAATATTTAGTTTCAAATATAAAATTTTGTGTATGTAACAAGACAGACATGAAAGACAATTTAGCTTTGCTTTGGTACCTGCTTTATGTCTTGTAGTTGCAGAAAATACATGGTTATTCCATATTTAGCTTTTTTGCAATTCTCCCTCGTTCTTAGCAAGACAGCTTCATTTAGTGACTTAACACCTGGTATATTATAGGGTGATTGCACTGTTATTGAGGAAAATTGTCCCGAGCAGTAAATCATTTTGCAGGAGATTATGAGTGACATATGATATGCTGGGAGGAACAATATTCATTAATATTAGCCTAATAATCCTTTTATAATATGGTACCAGTTATTTCAGCATCGTTGATAATTCTTCATTCAATGACTGTAGTAAGGACGCAAGCTCCATTGCTGATGTCTTGTTTATATCTCGTCTACTTTTTTTTGTGCAAATATTGTTTAACTTAGAACCTTTCATTGCATACCAAACTTTAAAGTAAAAATATAGAATGCAATATCGCTCAAAATCCAATATTTTTAACTCAGATATGCTCTATTTTTAGGTATATTTATGAAGAAGAATACATAAAAATATCAGCAAATATTGCATTCTTATTTCACAAAGAAATCTACATGAAATATTTGATATTAATGTTAATAAACAATGTATAACTGCAAAAAATTATAAAAGTATTATTCCCTTAATTACACAAACAGATAATGACTTACTAGAGGTATACCGTTTTGATCTATAAATATCATGTCTGCTACATGCTTGATGAATTCTAGGATTTCCTGCATCAACTGACTCATCTGTAATAAGAAGCACAAAAAAACAGTTATCTCCCTTTATTTACTTACTAAAATATTTCCAAATCTTACTGTATATTAGATAATATTTGCACAGGTTTCCCTTTCAACTTACCCGCCCCTGCAGATCCCCGAGTTTCCATAATTTTTCTTCCCTCATAGAGGTTGCCTCAGGCATATCTAATTCATATGGTAAATCTTCCTCCATTTGCAATGTAGTGATAATATTTCCATTTGGTAATGGTGGCAGTTTAGAAACTTTTTTCTGAAATTCATCAAAAATACATACATTGACTACATTATGTAGACTGGAATGTTTTACCTGTAACCATACTTTGGACTTTAAAATACCCAGAACAATAACAAATAAAGAGCAGCGCCATGAGCACAGGATACGCAGTAGCCCTGTTAGCTTGTCTTATACATTAAATCCACCCTTTTTTATGATTCAAGTCCCAATACTTCAAAATTTAAAATCAGAATTTTTAAAAATAGAAATTGAATATTTGTCAATATATATATAAACAATTCACCAAAGTTTCATGAAAATTGCTCCCCATTTTTTTATGAATAAAATCCCATAACTTGGAAAAGTAAAATCCTTTAAGCCTCTGAGAAACAGACCTAATCATGATTTTTACAGTTTGTTCTTATGTTGTGCTGGTATACCACAGTCCCTGTACACTCACAAATATGTTTAGCCCTGCCTCATTCTTTATGTGCCTTTAATTCAGTGGTTGTCGATGGTTAATGTCTGTCATGTTTGTTTTCCGTAAACTGAATTGTTATAAATTAGGCCATTAGTTTTCTTGTTTCAACTATTTCACATTTTTCATATCAGGGTCTTTAACAGCTGACTATATGATATGGGTTTTCCTCATTGTTAAAGTGCATACAGTGATCTGTAATTGCTTAAATCATTGTCATTTGAACTCTGATGGATAGTTGTCTCATTGGCAATCATACCACATCTAATCAGGAAGAATTTATATTGACCAATGAACCATGAAAATGAAGTCAAGGTCAGATGAACCCTGCCTGAGGGAAATGTTTACTTTACAATCATTCCATACACTAAATGGAGTTGACCTTTCACTAATAGTATCTGAGAAATGGACTTAACAACAAAAAAGTTAATACTGGCCTATGACCTATGAAATGAGGTCAAGGTCATATGAAACTTGTCTGTGTTTGACCCTCTCAATAAAATTTTCCTTCAAATTTGACTTTCTTATGAGGTGGCTATTTTATAGGTCTTCTTTGTTTTAAGCCTCTGTGTTTTACACTCTCAATCTAATTTTCCTTTATTTTTGCCTACCTCATGAGGTGGTCTTTTTATATGTGTTTTTTTGTTTGAAGCCTCTTTGTTTTACATTCTCAATCTAATTTTCCTTTAGTTTGGCCTACCTTATGAGGTGGTATTTTTATAGGTTTTCTTTGTTTGAAGACTCTGTGTTTAACACTCTCAATCTCCACTACTTCCTGGACTTCTTCTTCTGGCTCAGACTCTCCCTGCAGAATGAAATAAGATATCCTATATCACTATACATTATTTCTGGAGTCCAGTTTAGACCAGCTAGTTAAGCAGGTATAAAAGAAAGTAAAGTTTGTGAGGTGAATAAATTTTTTCATTTTTTATCCTTGTAACTCATTTATATTTACATGTTTACATTTACCTTGATCTGTTGTCAAAAGTGATAAAATTACACATTCAAAAACTCAAAATGACTTGAAACTTGTTGTGTACAATCAGTCAAACCCATTACACCCTTCCTTCCAGGTGCAAATAAATCATACCCTCGATGTAAAGAATATCAACTCTGAGGTACTTTTCAAACTCTTGCAAAACATCCTTAGCTGTTGCTGCCAATTAATTGTAACCAATATTGTATTTGTTATGAATATGTATCAAGCTTTCATATTCTTAATTATCTAAGTAGGAAACTGTGGTTACTAGACATGCTTTCCCTGTTTTGTTGTGGGTGACTGAGATAATCAAAGAGCTTGAGAGCTCTGAGGGAAAAGACGGCTATTGTTTCTATTTTTTTGGGTATCTTTTGATAGTCTTCATATAAAGAATGAGCAAAAGAACTGCTAGAACATGTAGAAAGGTTGACAATATTGAAATTAATTGTGTTAAATGTAATTAATTTCCTTAGTCAAGAATTCATCATGGAGTCAATTCGGACCAATGGAAGAGATCGGCACCTTCTAAATCAAAACATTTGATTAAAGTTGAAAGATAATCATTATGCTGGGCAAGACAAGTTCACAAATTTGGTAGTATATATTTTTTTCGTGTAAAAATTAATACTCAGTTTTGGCTATATAAACTGGTAAGTATTTCACAAAATGGAAATTGGAAGCAGTTAAAATATTGCATAAAAAACAAGGTTTGATTCAATAATTGTCTTAAAGAGACGCCAAAGATACCAAAGGTACATTAATGATTTAAACTCACTAACTATGACAGCTATTAGATATAACAGTTGATGTGACTTGACTTTTTACTACAGATAACAAATGCATCATTTATATATAGATATGTTGAATGAAAACATTCAGTATATCAGTATATATATATGAATAGTTTTAATTTATAAAAATACTCTCTATTAGGTCACAGAAAACAGCATTGGAAATGTATATTCAGGTTGGAAATAAAGCACTTGTACTGTCAATTTTAGCTTTATCTAATACTCTTTACAATGCCCTATATCTTTGAATTCAAAAAGAAATACTAAAGTTCAAAAAGTATTTATAAAGTTAATAAATTAGTTATATGGTTTAATAAATCATGTGAAAGAAACAAAACCTCAAAATATTCTCCACTGAGAGGCAACAAGGTATTTCCTATATATGCAGTCTGCTCTAAGGAGACTAAAACGAACAAAGACTGTTTGCATGCGTAGAACTGAAAGAAATAGCCCCCTACAGTGCATGGAAAACAAGTTGTCAACTATGCACATATATAATCAATGTAAGATACCCAATTGTGCATTGGGTAACATAATTCAAGTAGGTTTTCAAAACTTCTATATGACAAAACATTATTCTATAATTATTACATTGGTAGCAATGAATTACATTGATTTCCCAGTGAAATAAAAACCGATAATTTCACATGTGAAATAAACGTGGTTATTTCACTCCCATTCAAATAGAGAAAAATATTCAACGAGTGACCGAACAACACATTAATTCAAGAATGCGCATAGCGCATGAGTTAATTATCAGTGTTGTTCGGTCACGAGTTGAATATTTTTTGATATTGGATCAAAACTATATTAATTATCTATAATTATTACATTGGTAGCATTGAATTACATTACAAATAAAAACCGATAATTTCACAATAGGCGTTGTCTAGAATAACTAAACTTGAATTATATTAACTATATCAAATATCAGTGTTGTTCGGTCACGAGTTGAATATTTTTCGATATTTGAATTCTTTGATTAGTTATTCTTTTTATTACATTGGCAAATGGCTTTTTTATGAAATTAAAGTAGAAAACGTATGGAACTATATCTTTTTCTACGCATTCACAATTTGTTTTGATCCGACGTTATCGAAGTCTTGACAACGCCTATTGTTGTATGACGTCAGAGGAGTGAAAACCACGTTTATTTCACATGTGAAATTATCAGTTTTTATTTCACTGGGAAATCAATGTAATTCATTGCAACCAATGTAATAATTATAGAATTAGTTATTCTTTTAACTACATTGGCTACGCGCATTCATGAATTAATGTGTTGTTCGGTCACTCGTTGAATATTTTTCTCTATTTGAATTCTTCGATTAGTTATTCTATAAGTCTTTGTGAAGGCAACTTAATTTATACTCACAAATAACTAACTTAATAAAATGCAACGTAAATGACAACAAGAGTGCACATGCTGATATGTCTCTGCTGCTTTACTTGATTAAATTAAATTTCATACCATACATTGTACACCAAATAAAGTTAGCCTTTTGCATATACTCAGATACTATAAGCCAAAGGGCAAGAGAAACAGACCTGATTGCACAAAATTGAATTGACTAAATTAATGAACCATGAAAATGAGGTCAAGGTCTGATGAACCCTACCAGACAGACATGTACATCTTGCAATCATTCCTTACAACTAATATAGTTGACCAATGGCTTACAGTATTTGATAAATGGACAAAACCATGAAAACTTGCCAGAGAGACATGTCTACCTATTAACAACCATTCCATGATATATACCAATTATCATGAATATAATGGCCCAATGGCCTATAGTATCATAGATTTAGCCCAAACGGGAAATATTTAAAACATTATCCAATGAATCCCAAAAAAAAGGTCAAGGTCAGATGAAACTGGTAAGACGGAAATATACACCTTACATTCATTCCATACACCTAATCTTTTGTTTATAGTATCTGAAAAACAGACCAAACTACAAAAGCACTTATAACAAAAATAGTGCGGAAAACTGATTATTTGCATGAAATTTTCAAGTCCGAGGACCCAAATGCTGCTAAAAAATCATCCTAACCTAACAAAATTCAAATTTCAAATTTGATATGTAACTGGTTATGATAAAACTATATAACAAATATCAAATCAATATCTTCCAACACGAAGAAAAATAAATGGGGAATGTGTCCATGATACAGAGATGATATCCCTGTTTCAGAGATGCAAACAGTTTTTTTTTTCTGTCAGACATTGGGGACTACAGGGTAGCAAGTTTTGCCAGACCCATCAAATTTTTGACAGACCTACATTTTTTTTTATACAGTAAGAGAACGAAGATACGATGTCTTTACAGTGACAGGTGCTTTAGCGGATTGTTTTTAGAAAATTCAATTGAATTCTATCATTTAATAACTACTACAATATACTTTTAATTTTTTTATTGTGTACCAGTGAACTGCAGGCTAGGGCCATTCTAAATTTTTTTGTGACGGTGCTCTTAAAATTTTTAATTGATTACAACTTTCTCAGGAAAGTGAGGACTGAAAAGTCTATTCAGTTTTAAATTTCCCTCTTGATTAAGTTCCCAGTTACAACTCTCATCACAGGGATACATGTACTTACAAAAATCAATCAGATTGATATAAGCTGTGTGCAGCTTGTTTCCAGATCCAACATTTTCTTATCCTTGTATATTTTGATATATTTGTAAATTTCATGAATAAATATGTTTAAACTACAAAATGCACCATTTTAAAATTTTATAATTTTTTACCATTTTCAATGATTATGTTGGTACACAAAATTTTGTTTTAATGGAAGACTACTTATCATATACTAAATGTCACATTTTAAGTGTTCAGATACATGAACTTTTATTTTGGTGGATAATCACTCATCAATAGAGGTGCTCCTGTGTTGGAGGAAGATTCGAAATACAGTTACAGAAAAAATGAAAAATGCCGTTTCTCTCCCTAATCTCATGTATCCCATTGTTTACCGCGAAAGTTGACCTACAAATTAAAGCATTGATGTTTGAATCATCTACAGCAAACATAATTTTGTTTAATAAAACAAATACTGATTTTAAAATCGCACCAATTTCTGTGAATGATTTTATGAGTAAAGGATATCCCTGCTTCTACGTAGTGTGGAATTCCAACCATGACGTCACTAGGTTAGATATATTTAGAATATTTCGTAATACTGATTTTTCCAGATTGTAAAAGAAATGTAAATTAGTGTAAGGGAGAGCTCGAGATATGATAATTTCGCGAGAAACAGAAGGGAAATGTGTAATAAAGTGTTTTAAAGTCAATCTGTTCATTTGTTTATCTTGATCTCATCAATTCAGTATGATATTTTGAGGTGTTTTCCAACTATAAAAACAAAATGATTGATGTGAGAGGCTTGGAAGTCTGGCCAACCAAATAGGGAATTGACGGCTTGAAGCCGTCTTTCCCCAAAAACAAGTAGAACTTTGAGCTTTTGTTCAATAATAAAACTGAGAATGGAAACGGGGAATGTGTCAAAGAGACAAAAACCCAACCAATGAGCAGAAAACATAATTACCTCCCCTCCTTTTAAGTATTCAGTAAATATTAATTTGAAGAGCAATGCATAAGAAAATGCTTCAAACCATATATCATGTTCAGATGCAACCTGACAACAAATTTCCAGAAGTTGTTATTTGTAGTTCCCTAGGACTAGAGGCTCAAAAGAACCTTTATATCTCACCTGGATATATGTACATTTTCAACAATGGCCACTGTCTAAATAAAAGACTAGAATATAAACTCATGACTGAGTTCTCTTTTTTTTCCGATCTTGTCTTGCTGATCATTTATGCTGTTAACAGTTACTCTTAAAAGTTTTTACCAAAAAAATTAAAAAGGTAAAAATAATTGACTTTTAAGGGAGATAACTCCTAAAAGGCGTCAACTGACAATTTCTGCCATGTTGACTATTTGTAGATCTTATCCTGTGAATGCATTTTCAATCAAAATGTATAATTTACAGCTTCTGTAACAAATGGTCAACCATCTTATCCTACTTAAATTGTGACAGTGCTATAAATTATTCTCCACAAATCATTAACCCAGCTTCCACAATAAATAGTTACCTATCCTTTCCTACTTAAATTGTGACATTGCTATCAATTATATTCCACAAAACATTATCCCAGCTTCCACAATAAATGGCTAACTATCCTTTTCTACTTAAATTGTGATGGTGCTATCAATTATTCTCCACAAAACATTACCCCAGCTTCCACAATAAATGGTTAACTATCTTTTTCTACTTAAATTGTGACAGTGCTATAAATTATTCTCCACAAAACATTACCCCAGCTTCCACAATAAATGGCTAACTATCCTTTTCTACTTAAATTGTGATGGTGCTATAAATTATTCTCCACAAAACATTACCCCAGCTTCCACAATAAATGGCTAACTATCCTTTTCTACTTAAATTGTGATGGTGCTATAAATTATTCTCCACAAAACATTACCCCAGCTTCCACAATAAATGGCTAACTATCCTTTTCTACTTAAATTGTGATGGTGCTATAAATTATTCTCCACAAAACATTACCCCGTAAATTGTGACAGTGCTATAAATTATTCTCCACAAAACATTACCCCAGTTTCCACAATAAATGGCTAACTATCCTTGTCAACTTAAATTGTGATGGTGCTAAGAAGTATTCTCCACAAAATATTACCTCAGCATCCACTTCCTCTTCCTTTACTTTATCAGTTGGTGTTGGAGGAGGAACAGATAGCTTCTTCTAAAAATTACAAACTGGTCTATCATATCTTGTCATACATAATACACTATTGTACATTTGGATAAAGTTATCAGTTATGGAACAAAAATATAACAAATTGTTATAACATAGCTGAGTTGAATATTTCTAATCAACTTAAAAACTTTTCTGCCATATGAATTTGTTTCCCCCTCAATATACTGTTACCCAACTTATTTTCAGGACAATTTTTTTTCACAAAGCCTTTTTTAACTGATTTCTCTATGATTTATTTTCACAAATATATGTACATTGATGTTTTATGTGAGAGAAAATACAAGTTTAACAAACACCACAATCTATATTCTTGTAATTTTTCACTAGCAAGAGTTGAAAAGATTATTTAATTTACAGAACTTTTTCTAAGAAATACAGTAAACAAACAGGTGTTACTACAAGTTCAGTAAAAAGATACATCTGATTTTGAAGTTAAACAACTTTTTACAAAAAATCAATCAATCACACTAGAAAGCAATATATTATAGAACAAGCTCAGAATTGTTGTTGAGTTTCTAAAGTCTTAGTATGTCTACTATAAATGTATGTAATTTTATTGGCCCATGTCATTAACAGGATAGACAAGAACTAGCTACACATTTTAGCTGCAACAAAGAATATGTATTACTTTTAATAATACATTTCTCTGCAGCTACATACCTGTGGTTCATATGCCAGTTGTAACCTTAACTCAGAGATTTCTTTATAAGCACCACTCAGCTTAAGTTCTGTATCAGCTAGACTCTTTTGGAAGTATGTCAATTTATCTTTTAACTTATTTATTTCATCATCTTTATTGCTGCCAACAGACACCTGAAAATATATTCATAGATGATTACAACATTGATATCTTTACAACCTAAAACTCAGTTGTCTTTATAAATAATATCTTAGTGTTGTATTCACTTTAAGAATCTATTAATGATGGCAAATCTTATCAAAGTACTGAAGTACTGAACATCGGATGACCACAAGTTCTTGAGGATGGTCAAAAGCACTTGTCTCAGAAAAAAAACAACATATCTCTTTACCTGAAACTAAGGTTAATGTACAGAGATATATTTTTTTCTAGACAAGTGCGTGCGAGTATGATGAATAAATGACAGGAAATTCAACTTCACCGTAATAACTATTATATTGTAGTGATACAAATCAGTATACACTGATTTGTTGTTATATATTATATTAAAATAACAGTTACATATATATATGATTTGCATCCGTTTGTATATCATTCTATTCTACTGTTCTAATAATAGTGCAATGCAAGTGCATGGTGGACACTTTTCTGTAAAAATTCGATTTTTCTAAGATTGGATACGAGTAGGCATTCATATTTTCCCGCAAAAACAATTACAGAGTTACCGGTCCTGTCGCAAAACGTTCTTTGAGATATTCTTCCGCATGCTTTAACACAATTTTTCGGTACGTGTGCATTGATATTATCAATGATTTTTTACTTATATATATATATCTAACTACAAAACATTTTCACATTATTAATTTATGTTGTAAACAAAAATATTTTTATCAGTATTCATTGAAGAGATGTATTTATATCAAATGACAAGGAATGTTATTTTGCACTCGTTTATGTGCGCATATTTATCATGTTTATAGATCGGTTACAAACCCAAAACTAATTTACATAATGGAAATCTAGGCGATAGCAATACATCGGAGTGACCTCAAGGTCATCGCGATGTAAAAATGGTATACTGAAAATTGAACTTCACCTTAAAAGTCAATGAAGCAGATGTTCGAATTTTTTACCTTATAATATACTCACTATGGTGCAGTTACATGCATTTTATGATAATATATCCTTTCAATATTCTATAACTCTAATGTAATAAGAATGTGTCCATAGTACATGGATGCCCCACTCGCACTATCATTTTCTATGTTCAGTGAACCCTGAAATTGGGGTCAAAACTCTAATTTGGCATTCAAATTAGAAAGATCATATCATAGGGAACATGTGTACTAAGTTTCAAGTTGATTCGACTTCAACTTCATCAAAAACTACCTTGACCAAAAACTTTAACCTGAAGCGGGACAGACGGACGGACGAACGGATGCACACACAGACCGAAAAAACATAATGCCCATAAATGGGGCATAAAAACTTAGGACAACAAAATAACAAGAATGCACAAGATTTTGTGCTAAGCATATCCCCACTCATAATTCAAGGTATCAGATAACAATAAGCCCTCACATGTTACAACTCATCACTGTCAAGTCCCTGATCAAATATGAAGTCATTCTGTTCAGTAGATTCTGATAAAATTTGGGTTAGTGTTCATCATACATTTCTTATCAATTTTCCAGAATTCAAAATTATTCCAGATTCAAATAATTCCTTGTTTTTATGTCAAACCATCCCTAAATATTGATGTATTTCAGCGGATAGTCGAGACCATAACCATATCCCCAGTGGTGTGATTAGGGTCTGACAAAAATTTGGTTCCGACATAAAATCCCTTCAGGGAGGTGTTAAACTTTTTAAAGGGTAATGCGAGTTTGAAACAAATTTAAGAGGAATGTAGGTCTATCTTTTTGCAGGTTTGAACAGATTCGTTATGTTTGATGCTGTTGTCATAGCATCTTCTAAATTAATCATCAGCTTCATAAACTACCATAACATACTTACTACAGCAGACACATGGCTACTTTCTGATTGTTTACATCTAGGACATTTCATCTGTTTAGAACTAGCTTCTAAACTGAAAACAACAAATACATTTAAAATTTAATGTTGTGTTCTATATGAAAATAAGAAGATGTGGTATGATTGCCAATGAGACAACTATCCACCAGAAACCAAATGACATAGAAATAAATAACTCTAGGTCACTGTACAGCCTTCTGTTCACAATAATACTTATTTTACCCAAAATAAATTTCAATTTTATTATCATATTTTAAAAATTAGATATAACTAATACAGTTGAAGGATGTTTTACAGGAAAATCAAATTTGATGCCATGTCCCTATAAACTTTATCAATAAAACAAAAATTTAAGTGGCAATAACAAAGCATTTTTAAAGAAAATTCTTGGAACTGATTTTTGGAAACACAATTTGAGGCCAGATACGTCAATATATCTTGCAATTATGAAATGGATCTTTTACATTTGTACTTCTGTCTGAGTGATATTAAATTTGCTTGCTTTCATTATGTATAAAAAGTGACTTTTTTCTATATTCTATATATATTCATGCAGTTCCAAATATTCTAGTTGTTTTCAAAATTAAATAAACTGTAAACACAGAGATATGTCTCGTCGTTTTGTTATTTTGATAGTAAAATGCAAATGTTGAAATCAAAATAGAAATATTTCAACATGTAAGTTATGCAAAATATTCAACGTCAATGAACCATGACTGAAGGTACAGGGCCAAAAAATCTCCATGGAAATTAGATGTGCCAATGCGAGTACAAATATCATTAACCTACCACTAGTGGTTCCCCATAAACTGACCTAATCACAAACTAATACATTATTATTGACGTCACCGCCGCCACTGGTCACAGCATACCTATGTCTTACATTTTGACTCCATCAATCATTACAGAATTGTTTTATTTCTTCTCGGGCCAATTATACATGTGTTAATATTATTACAAAATCCACAAACCTTCTACAAGAATATTTCTCCAGTTCTAACTCTATATCAGCCATCTTGTCTCTCAAATCATCATTTTCATCCTTAAGTGTTACAACCTGTCTGGTCTAAGCAAAATAATAACTAATACTGAGTTAAATTTTCATCTTGATTGGAATCAAATTGATACAAACTTTATCCTTAAGTCTGAAACCATTGCACTGCCCTTTTATGTGATATCAATTCTTAGTTATGAAAATTAATCCAAAATAAATGGACAATGTGTCCCATGATGCCCTGCTTGCATATAACATTATAAACGCATATAACGTTATAAAGGCATATAACGTCATAAAGGGACACAACTCCAGAACAGTAAAAAGGATGCAACCCAAATTCGAACTTGATATGTGTTTTGTGGTAACAAGCATTGTGTATAAGTTTCATAACATTTGATTGAGGCAAGCTAAAGTTAGAGAACGGAAACTAATTTTAGGACATACAGACACTGCAGTTTGCTTGTTCCAAAATTTTCCCTTAAACCTAATATAAACACTAAAACTGTTATGGAAGTAAAATTTGATTTCAATGCTGAAAGGACTAAAATATTGGTAATGCATCACATTGGATTTAGGCCAACATCAACCACTCAATCCTGGTCTGATCACAATGGGTTGCAGGTAAAAATTATTAAGATTCAGTTATAAGATTACAAGTCAACCAACCTTCTATGCATGAAATGAGCTGTGTTGGATAGAAATGGAACTTATGCAAGTGCACATATACAAATACAAGACTTTGATTGATTTCGGAACATTCAAATATGAAATAAAAGATGAAAATTGGTCTGTATTGTAGGTTTCTTCTATCAACTCAGTTTTTATACAGTTACAGACTTTGCAGAGATTTTTCAACCCAAAATAAGTTAACAGTTGTATTGATATTCATTTGCATAAGGTTGATTTCTATCAGATGCAGCTCAAATGTAAGCAAGGATAATCAGCTATTTGTGAGAGATACCTCGATCAACCAATTTTAGATGCATGAAATGTACATAAGGATTATCAGCTATTTGTGAGAGATACCTCCATCAACCAACCTTAGATGCATGAAATGTAAATATGGATAATCAGCTATTTGTGAGAGATACCTAGATGCTAGTATTAATCAATATCTATACCAAGCGTTATGAAAGAAGATTACAAAGTATCTGTGAATGTTATATTTTTAAACTTAACTTAAAGGACAAATGAAATGTAGGTCAGAATGTCTTTTATGCTCTCCTAAATGCATCCCTACACCAAATTATGATTTTAAATCACATTAAATGTAGGTCAGATTAAACTGTTTTTTTGTCATGGACTCTAAAAGTCACAAAGATGCAATCTTACTCTAGAAATTTATAGTAACATGGGATTTTGAAACTTAAAACCTAAAGGCTAACAATAAATCATGTGTCATATAATTGTTTTCTTTAGTTTCATTGTTATTTGACACCAAAATGTCAAATCTTTATGGCTTCCAATCAGTCTATATATACTGTTGCAGATGCAGGAATGGATAGCAAAAGGACTGTAGTGGTTGCTCTACACTACAGTAGTGGGTCTCATTAGGGTCTAAGCGTGACATGGGATTATTTGTAAGTGTGGTACGTGAAAGCCAATTTTTTTTGCATGAAAACGGGAAACGAAGTCGGCCGGCACAGGTGAAATTAGAAGCGCTATTATTGCAATGATAAGCGGGCTACAGGATTCTGACAAAACAATAAGCGGGATCCAGGATCAGACCCCCCTCTAATGAGACCCCCTACAGTAGAGTGAGTTGAAGAAAGAATGAGCTAATAATGGTGAATTAAAATTTCCAAGATTTATGGCAAGGATTGCAAAGGGAGGTATAATTATATTTCAAAGAATAGAAAGATCTGAGGCCTGATATTATACAAATCAATTCAGTCAGACATACAAGAATTGTTGCTTTTATCTTGTTTTGGGATTCATTTAGAAACTAAAATATCCAATAATGAACAATTAATAAACTCTATCAAATATTGATGAAATCAGCCAATTTTGCTTATGGCAGGAAAAGTGAGTGAACACCATTTGTAGTACGGATAAACTGAAACACAACTTGATAGATTACCAACTACCACAGCCTACCAACATATCTATAAATTGTCTGTCTAAATTACCTGTTTTTTCAAGGAATCTTCTAAGTTTATCTCTTGGCTTTGCAGCCTTTTCACTTCCTACAATTAAAAGTACAAGTACAGACTTATGTTTCAAGAATGTTGGATAATCGGTTGAAATTACCAACCTATTATCTTACTATCCGTTGACAGCAACCAACCAGCTATCATTAATAATTGCATTATTATAGCTTGCTCTATTTTTATATGAAATCATACATTCAGCCACATTGTACATGTCTAATGCATATATTCTATATCATTGCAGAGTTTTATTTGTTCATAATAAACCCATCATAGATACATGTTTGATCTTTTGTTTACTTTTCATATTTTAGTTAGTAATTAAACAGTGAATCCATTACAAACCTGATCAGATTGAACATATTTTGTCTTAAAATTACAATACTTATTCACAACAATGATACTAAAATTTCTAAACTTCAATGGTATCACTCACATGATAATTTCAAATACATAGCTGTATCAAAATGTGAATAATGTTCTCATTAAAAAGACATATAAAGTATTTAACTTTAAGCAACTTAAATCAATAAATTAAAAAATGCATCTGAATTCCGATTTATACATTTAACTATGGGGATCCAACCACATGTCTGTTACATTTAACTATGGGGATCCAACCACATGTCTGTTACTTAGTGTGAAATGTGCATTTTTTCAATTTTGTGATCATCATTCTTCTGTCAGCTGTGCAATTCGTGCATCTGTATTTACTATCATAAGAATACAGATTGTGTTTATAGTAGGTCCGTATCCAATCCATGACTCTTATATATTTCAATGGAGTAAAAGAAAATATCTCATAAAAAGTTGTTAAGTAACATTCTGTCAAGTCAATGACTTCACCACGTTTCTAAAGAAAGAAATTGTTTATGTCTGATTTTTGTATGTTTGACACTGTTATTGTCGTCTGTCAATATTTTTCATTATATTTGTATGACTGTACATGTAAAATGCAAACCGGAAAACGACCAGAAGTTGATATGCTAAATTCCAGAAACTATAACAACAAAATCCCAATCGATTATCGACATCACTGAGTCAAACCAACTGATTTCTGACTTATTCCAATCATCAGAACACCACTATACAAGATCAAATATAACTTTAAAATCCAAGAAAGATATCAATACATACATGTACTTTCAGATGGGAGCATCTCAAATGACCCATTAAAAAATGTTTGATTTTATTTCCTAAACTACTCTATTTCGAATAAGACTGTAATAACAAACCTGTGCCAGAATCTTAAGAGCCTCTCTCTGGTCCCTGATACAGGACCTTAACAAGGTTGCATCACTACTGGTTTCATGCACTGGAACCTCACCATCAAGGAACTGAAACAGATAAGACCGTCAAATTAGCAAAAATATTTTTAGACCTTTATTTAATCAGAGAACCTTTGTTGGACCATATATTATATCCAAGTCAAGTTTTTAAAGTAAGGTTCTTGAGATATCATTCAGAAATAAGTATTGAAATTACATATTTAGATAGAGAAAAGTTGGTAACCGATGTGTTCAGATTAAAATATTAAAAACTAGAGGCTCTCAAGAGCCTGTGTTGCTCACCTGTATCAACTGATGCTTTGGAAATCATGTAAAATAAGGTTAAAATCATAATAAATAGTATTAAATATTAGATATTATAATGATATCTAAGATTATAACAAACTAGAGGCTCTCAAGAGCCTGTGTCGCTCACCTGTATTTACTGATGCTTTGGAAATCATGTAAAATAAGGTTAAAATCATAATTAATAGTATTAGATATTAGATATTATAATGATATCTAAGATAATAACAAAAAACTGCAAAATTTTTGTAAAATTACTAACTCAGGGGCAGCAACCCAACAACCGGTTGTCGTATTCGTCTGAAAATTTCAGAGCAGATAAATCTAAATCTGATGAACATTTTTGCCACCTGTCAGATTTGCTCTAAATGCTTTAGTTTCAGAGATATAAACCAAAAACTGCATTTTACCCCTATGTTCTATTTTTAACCAAGTCAACCATGATGGTTGGAAGGCGGGGTCATTGGACAAAATTTTTAAACTAGATACCCTAATAATGATTATGGCCAAGTATGGTTAAATTTGTCTCAGTAGTTTCAGAGAAGAAGATTTTTGTAAAAGATTACAAAAATTTACAAAAAATGGTTAAAATTTGACTATTAAGGGCAATAACTCCTTAAGGGGTCGACTGACAATTTTGGTCATGAAAACTTATTTGTAGATCTTACTTTGCTGAACATTATTGCTGTTAACAGTTTATCTCTATCTATAATAATATTCAAGATAATAACCAAAAACTGCAAAATTTCCTTAAAATTACCATTTCAGGGGCAGCAACCCAACAACGGGGTTGTCAGTTTTGTCTGAAAATTTCAGGGCAGATAGATCTTGACCTGATTATCAGTTTTATCCAAAATGCTTTGGTTTCAGAGATATAAGCCAAAATCTACATTTTACCCCTATGTTCTATTTTTAGCCATGGCGGCCATCTTAGTTGGTTGGCAGGGTCATCTGACACATTTTTTAAACTAGATACCCTAATGATGATTGTGGCCAAGTTTGGTTTAATTTGGCCCAGTGGTTTCAGAGGAGAAGATTTTTGTAAAAAGCTAACAACAACGGATGACGCCGCCGACGACGACGCCGACGGACGACGGATGACGGACGACAAGTGATGAGAAAAGCTCACTTGGCCCTTTGGGCCAGGTGAGCTAAAAACTGCAAAATTTTTGTAAAATTACTAACTCAGGGGCAGCAACCCAACAACGAGCTGTCGGATTGGTCTGAAAATTTCAGGGCAGATAAATCTAAATCTGATGAACATTTTTGCCACCTGTCAGATTTGCTCTAAATGCTTTAGTTTCAGAGATAAAAACCAAAAACTGCATTTTACCCCTATGTTCTATTTTTAACCAAGTCGGCCATGATGGTTGAAAGGCGCGGTCATTGGACAAATTTTTTAAACTAGATACCCTATTAATGATTATGGTCAAGTATGGTTAAATTTGTCTCAGTAGTTTCAAAGAAGAAGATTTTTGTAAAAGATTACAAAAATTTACAAAAAAGTGTTAAAAATAGACTATAAAGGGCAATAACTCCTAAAGGGGTCGACTGACAATTTTGGTCGTGGAGACTTATTGGTAGATCTTACTTTGCTGAACATTATTGCTGTTTACAGTTTATCTCTATCTATAATAATATTCAAGATAATAACCAAAAACTGCAAAATTTCCCTAAAATTACCAATTCAGGGGCAGCAACCCAACAACAGATTGTCAGATTTGTCTGAAAATTTCAGGGCAAATAGATCTTGACCTGATAATCAGTTTAACCCTTGTCAGATTTACACTAAATGCTTTGGTTTCAGAGATATAAGCCAAAATCTACATTTTACCCCTATGTTCTATTTTTAGCCATAGCGGCCATCTAGGTTGGTTGGCGGGGTCATCAGACACATTTTTTAAACTAAATACCCTAATGATGATTGTGGCCAAGTTTGGTTAAATTTGGCCCAGTGGTTTCAGAGGAAAAGATTTTTGTAAAAAGCTAACAACGACGGACGAAGACGATGACGGACGACGGACGCCAAGTGATGAGAAAAGCTCACTTGGCCCTTCGGGCCAGGTGAGCTAAAAACAATTAATCCAAATAAACATTCATATTTCTAGCGCTTTCATCCTTCATGCACTTTTCAAGATGAACTATGTAGGTTTCTAGGCGACCTCCTTCAAGGGGGACTGTGATGTAATGTCACTGTTCTCTTCTTATTCTGTTTTGCATTTATATGTGACTATATTATTTTCAATTCACTGTTGTATTATTATCAACAGTAAATTCAATAGTACTTTTGAGAAGCATACAAAAAAACACCTACCTGCCAACCCTCTCTACAAGATGCATTTTTACACAAATATATAGATTGCAAAATACAACTGTTTTCCCATAGGCAACAACAATAGCATTTTTATAGCTATAAATACGTTACCATCATAAATTCTGAGTGTACCCCAACTGCGTCATTAGGTCAGATGGAATATCCCCGACTAAAAATAAACGTACTATCACTGGTCCGGACATATACCCCTGTGTACCCATATTCTCCCATTCAATTTCCATCTGCGACATTGGTCACACGTGTATTTACAGATTTAACAGAGAAGTTTTTTTGAATTGCTTAATTGCTTTTCAAATTTATATTGTGTATTATTGGAAGATTATTCCCTTGTTTAGAATTAATTTCTAGACAAAATTATTTGTTTATTATGACTAAATTTAATTATGGACTATAAATTGAATAGTCCTTTTGTCACTATTCCTGGTTCGGACTATCTCCCCCCTAACTACCAGTACATTAACAGGAGTTTCGACAACGGCGTCTGGTAATGCTACCTATCCGACCCTTTCACAAGGTTCGGCCATGCATTTTTTTTTGGGGGGGGGGGGTCCCTACGTCAACTTCGGTGACTCATACCTTATCTAGGCCTGTTAATTCATCGGCTACTATTCGTTCTGTCCCAGGTACAGCTATGGGCTTGAACTTGCCAGGTTCTAGACCCCCATTATCCTATTGTGGGTATATGCTTCCCAACTCGGGCACCCAACCTTTACCCTCATGGTCTCAGCCACCTTGGCCACAGTCTTACCCTTATGGTGGGTTTATGCCAAACCAACCTGGTTTCTGGCCTTATAGGGCCAATATCTATGGTCCCCCTTCTGGGGTAGCTACTGCTCCACCAGTAGCAGTATCTTTGACTCCTGCAGTAGCTCCTTCTAACCCTGTACCTGACTCTCGAGCTCAATCTTCTAGCTCTTCTCATTTGGACTTTGGTTAGTCTTTTAAGGCTGAGTTTAGTACTCTATCCAGTCGTATGTCTCTACTGGAGAATAGAGTTTCTTCTCATCAACCTTCTCCAGCTAAGTCTGTAGAATATGATGAGAGGGAGGTTGACAAGCTTTCTGTTTCCCCTGGGAGTCAAGAAAGGGCTTTCCTCACTGATGATGATGTTGATAGTTCTTCTCCCAAGGTATCGAAGACGGCCCCTGAGCCTACTTCTAAGTCAGCTCAACAACCTTCCACCAAGGAGACTGAGGATCCGACTTCATCCTTGAAGGATCTTAGGGATAAGGTGTATACCCTGATGAGGGATGAAGCACATATCCCTTTTGCCCTTCCTTCCAAGCCGAAGAGACCTTCTTCAACTTTTGAAGCTTCCTGTGGTATTTCTCAGGATACTGTGACTTTTCACAATTCTTTTCCTGAATCTGGCCATATGGCATTTGCTTTACAAATTATCAATGAAGGTATTGCTTATTCGGCTAGTGAAAAGGTTGCTAATAACAATATCTCTGGTTTTGGTATGTCTTCCTTTTCTGATCACTTCAAGTACAAAGATTTTGATATCTTTGATTCTTCACTGGGTAGACTTGTTCCCATTTGTGACAAATCTTTTTCATCTTTATTGGGAACAAAGCCAGTAGATGGTCTTCGTCTCACTCAAACTGTTTGGGCAAAGACTGAGAATCTCCTTCGTAGTGCTTCTCAAGTTCTTGGCACAGCCAAACAGTTTCTAGCTACAACCGGACATTTGCTTAATAGCGAAGATTCAGTTGTTCCAGCAGAAGTACGATCTTTCTTACTTCAGCTGGATAAAGCTCTAGGTTCATCTCAGTTGCTTTTAATGGGTTCTTTTTATAATTGCACCCTATCTAAAAGAGCAGAGTTTCTTGAAAAAAACTTCTGTTGCTGAGTCTTTGAAAGATTCTTTACTGAAATCTCCACTTTCTGACAAGATGTTTGGTTTATCCTTACAGCGGGTTCAAGAGGAACTCAGCAAAAACCCTCCTCCAGTCAAAGTTAGTGTACAAGTTACTAATGGCAAGAGGTCGGTTAATGCTACCTCTAGTTCTACTAGTACTTCTGCTTCTGGTGGTCCTCCTTCTTCTGCTAAGAAAAGGAAGAATAACTACGGAAAACCGCAGAACAAATCCCATAACTCCAGTAAAAGCTCAGGTAAGCCTTCTGGTGGTTTTAAGGGCCCCAAGAAATCTGGGTCTAGTACCTAGGTTCTTGTCCCCTCGTACGTTATTGACAGCTTCCCCAGGCGAAAAATTTACAAGTTCCTCAAAAATCAATACCAGTAGGGGGGAGGTTAAGTTTTTTCCTAAATCAGTGGAAGAAAATTACCTCAGACTGTTATGTGCTGTCAATAATTCGAGGGGGATTAACACTTCAGTTCAAGAACCCACTTTCTCTGTCTGCAGTTCCAATAAGCTTGTCTCATACTCAAGACCCAGTCAAGTATCAACTTCTATCAGTAGAAGTA